TTTCTGATCGGAAATCCAAGAGTTCTATTTTGAAATGACCGTTCAACTAGCGCGTATACACATTTATTTGACCAACCAATTTATCAAATCAATTCATCATGATTTTCATTGGTTAAATAACACAGTAGAAAAGTATATAAGCACTTGAGTGATGTCACAAAAATAAACCCTCAAAATGAACATGCATAAGTGTTTATTCTTGGTCTCCTTATTGCTCGCCAGTGTGATCTGTAAGTTACTTATTTCTGTTGTCTTATGTGTGATTAGTTTACATTTTACATTTGTTATCCTGAGTGCCTACTGCATTCCTCAGTTATTCGTATTGACACAAATAATCCGAATGTCAAATATTCATTAGAAATACAAAACGTAAATGTGGACAGAGCAGGTCAGCGAACCATCGTACATACGTAATTAATAAAGGATGCAACCAACTGCTTCGAATGTTTCCAAGCCATGGTAAACATTCTGATCTTCACGGAACTGTCTTTGTTCTACAACGATCTAATATGCAAAGCGTGCACATCTGTACTAACTCATTTCAACAACCATTATACTAGTGTATTCCATAGAGAAAATGCGTTCACAATGATGTGGTTAGTTACTCTTAAGTACTTGACATGTGGTAAACATGGTGCTGTATACGAATTGATTCTATTTGTAAACGTATCCGGCAATCAAGTGGACGTTTCAACGAGTAAGAACTGTTTATATTCATATGTTATCTGTTAATCAATGTTCTTATTTAAATAATGTATAATTTTCAGAAAAACAGACAGTCAAACACCTAAAATAGAGAAAATTGCTTACATTGTCGTTATTCGGTACTAAATCTGTCTCAATTAGTCTTCATGTAGTTGAGACGTATTTTCTGAGTATTGATAATAACGTGTAAATATGCTGAATATTTGTAATCGAATGTGTCAAAGAATTGTACTCGTTCAGTGATGTGTACGACTTCTCGAACATATAAATGTAGGCTTTCATTGTCTAGATACAATACCATTTATGTTTAGTATGAACAGCAGTGTGGATTGCTGTTGATTTTCTAGATTAAAATGTAAGCTCATAATTTGTTGAAAATGTTGTTTGTTATCGTAAAATACAATCCTTCGTTTACCATATTTATGCACATATATATCCATTAATTGTGTTTCCAGGTGTTCATGATAACAGCACAATGACTGCATGGCGTAAGCATATTATTCAATCTAATATATTTTAAATCACTATTCTACACAAATTCGTTGTCACAACATTCCCCAAAAGCACGCAAAACAACAATATGCCATATAAATATATATATTTACATAGAGCTCCATCATTTGTTGGAAATGTTCGTAATTTATTATTAGTTTGTCATTATTTTGACTGACTGACTGGCTGTTTGTGAATTCAGGAACATGAATCACACAAAAGACGTAATAATGATGTGAATTTGGTTCATGAAAGAATGTAGCTTGTAGAAGGCTTATTATAGCTACTGACAAAATATGGAAGTTCACGACAAATCCACATGATTACTTCCATAACACCAGATATTCTGTGAAGTCTACGCAAACACAGGTCAATAAATGATAATAGTACTGATACTAATTCTTATCATTTCCTTTGAAACTGTATTTCAGAAACCATCGAAGATTACTGGTGTAAGTTGTATTCATTGACTAAACATGTACATTCAAGACACAAATATTCAGCCTTCTTCAGTTAATTCTACACTAATATTGAAAAATTCGATGATTCATTTTTCAATTTAGAGTAATTCATTTGGATGACAACAAATGATTTTCTTGTGCTCACACACAAACCGTCTATTTGCTGAAGGAGGTGGTTCACTGAGTACACATCCTATTCTAACTCGAAATAATATCTATTCATTAGTGTGATTGGCTTATCAGTACAATAATTCAGACACAGTATTCATTTATTTTGCAGATAATCTAATATTTTACACACTTGATGTGTGATTGTAATCATTGTTCACTTTTTCTTCATGTCTTAAAGCCGAATATTTTGATACCCTATGTAAGTAACTTATATATGTACATATACATATGTTTTGTCAAACAGGCGATAACTCAAAATGCCTGTACACTCTGTTTTTCACTTGATTGATTTTGCGATTTTTCTCTATTGTGTGAGAAACAATTTTGAAACACGAACCGCATATTTTGCATTAACTTGTTGAAAGAGTTTGTTGACAGAGTTCAGCAGTTAAAACACGGTTTATCGCAACTCAAAACTGTACCAATTCGACTGTACTATTGAGCTAATAATGCAGTATTTCAGTTGATAGATCCGATTATTTCATAAACGACCATGTCATTTTAAATAATTGCTGCATAAATGTAATCACTATTCACTTCTTTCCTTATATGTAAAAGCTGGAATTTGGGGTTCATTTGGTAAGTTGCTTGATTATGTTGATTATTGAATGAAGTTGTTTAGATGGTTTCACATGAACTATTGCCTCGATTTTGTTCGTGACTTCCTAAACTATTTATAGTGGAGAACTATTTGAGTTGAGGCATAAACAATTTCCCATGTTCAATAATCTGCGACAAGCTGTGTATGAAGGTAGATCAACTGGATATCACACGAACATATGAGACATCATTCAGTGAATGGAAAACAGCTGGAGGACAGTTCAGTGATGTTATTTCTGAAGTGGTAAAAATCTCGACCATGGAATGAAGAGTTTTCGTGAATCCACACAAAAGTTCATGAAACATGCAATGTAGCTTCTCAAGTTGTGTTGTCTTTAGTAACCAAACAGTAATAGACCGATGTGAAATCCTATTTCACATCTTATTTTATATAGTTGCTTTATTTTCGTTTGCCTCATGGTCAGCAAGTAATTGGTCGACTGGTTGTTTCTTCATAATTTGAAAGTGGACAAAGTTCACTTTCAGTAGTTTGATTGTCTCTCAGTGATGAGGAGACTTTGTTTGATGTTAAGTCTGTCGGGGAGCGTTGCATGTCTTCACTCCTGCGTGTTCAAGCTGTTCACCGGTCCAAATGTCTGTACGGTGACGAAAGAGTAAGTGATTTTAGAGACTATCACTCGTTAGTAATAACTGGAAGCTATTTGTTTCACCACTCGACTTGAAGACGTAATCAGGTAAGCTTTTGCTTCCAAATGAGATTGTGGATGAAATTCAGCTAACAATACAGAAACATATTTGTTTTGCAATACGACTCATTGTAGTGTGATTTCGATTTGTTAAATAGTTAACCTTTATTAGATAAGTAATAACAGTTTCGATGTTTGCGATTTCAGTTTCAGATTCAGATGCCACGTTATTTGAAATCGGTATGTTATGGTGCGCAAAATTTTAATGTCGACACCTTGAATGAATTTATACGTCTGATGAATTCACGAAGATTCTGAGTAATGAATGAACAACCGAATTTCAGAAGCATAAATTTCATGTAGAGATACTTTTGGTTATCTTTACCTTGCATATTGAATTAATCAACAATGTTTCTACCTGTTACACTCATTTTCCTATCGCAAACCTTGTCATTTTTTCCACGTCACAGATCTGTGTCGTAGATGGATGAATAACCGTAGAGAAATTACAGGACATGCGTTTGCTGTTTATATATATATATATATATATATATATATATATATATATATATATAATACTCGTTTCCGTTAGTACACATTTTACTGAATCACTTAAAATCAGTAAGTATCAAACCCACGAATACAACATTGCAAAAAGCAAACGTTCAGCACCGTAAAATGCAATTATTCGTGCCCCATATTTATGTATATCTATACATTATTCGTGTTTTCAGATACTTACAATAACAGCACAACAAATGCAACCGGTAAGCATATTATTCAGTCTCATATATTCGAAATCACTATTCTATTCAAATTAGCGGTCGCATTATTCCTCAAAACACTCAAAACAACAATAACCAATTATTATATCACAATGATGATGATGATCATCATCATCATCAGCAGCAGCAGCAGCATCAGCTGTGAAGTGAGTGAGCTTGCCAGAATATCATGCATTTATCTTTAGAAATGGAAGGATGAGGAATCAATCACTTCTCAATTTCTTACCGAAGTCTGATTCATTGCATTTCATCTCATAAAGACCGTTTTCCTCAATTCATATTGTCTGACCAAAAGCTTGAACACATGTTAAGGTTACTTCCAATGATAACAAACAATTATTAAATTTTTGGAAACACAGACTAATTAGTCAATTGTCGGTGAGAATAAAAGTTAGAACAATTCAGTCAAAATCTCTATTAATTACACATAATTTAGGAAACCCTCAGTGATTTCAAATTCTGTGAGTTGATATGAACAATTTGTAAAGAGTTGCATTTTAACTATTGTTATGACTGTGAAAAATTATTTGCTGCGTATTAAGGGGGGCGAATTATTGATCGGACCAAAAACGCACAAACACGTAGAACGACCTAGGGTTCTGATTGATCCTGCTTCCCTGTCTAGCCCAGTTAGTTAAGTCCAGAAGACAAGCCACAGCCTCGGAGATATGAATCATTATATTTCAAACATACTTTCTTTATATACCAATCAAGCACACCACACCGTACCATAAAATAGAAAACAACATTTTGTACAATATTTAACAAGTGAACAGATATCGACCAATAGGCAATGTCCATTTAAAGTCCAAGGACACCATTGGACTTAACATGATAATTATTGGTTTATTCCTCTGCATCCACAACACCTCCCCTTTTTTTTTGAAGATCCGGAGTTGATATCCGGATTTTGAAATTTTCTGGTTCATCCTCCCCCACGAAATAATGTTGGGTCCTCATATCCCCAAGTTAAAATTAATTTGACTTTATTTAACACATAATTGTCACATGGGACAGAGAAGTCACTAAAAGTGAATAAGTAGTGTGGACCAACGTCGCTTGATATGAGGTCATCAACGCTCGATTCTTCTGGAACATTATCATAGAATTCCTTGAAAATCTCATTTGTGAATAATTGATCACTGGGATAATTAACATCTATCAAAATTATATTAAACTTCTGATCATCGTTTGGTGCATTTAACACATTTTCTGGTACAACAGGATCTAGATAATAAGATTCTGACGAATCTCCTGTTGTTGAATGATGAGGACCATTTGAAACAGCTGGATTCAGTGTACTGCACGATTTGTTCCCTGTTCCGTTGTGGGCGGGTACTGCAATTAATTTATGAACATTTAATGAGAGATCTTCCTGTGAGTTGGATACATCACTGTCTGTACCCGTTTCAGGAACAGTGGGATTTGAACCCACGACAGGGAATGTTTCGGAATTTGACATTTCTGGACAACTGGGCGGATCATGAATGACTTTCTCGTTTACATCATTGGTCGTCCGGGATTCACAGAGGCTTTTATAGGCAGCTTCATATGTTCTGCAGTTGTTTTCCAGATCAGTCTGCAGATTAGAAATGAACTTATCAACTTCTGTTGCATTTCCGAAACATGGAAAATTTACCAACAGTGTGCGTAAATTTCCTAAAAAATTCAACTGGCTATTTTTGAAACACTGCTGTTGTTGCTCAAGTAGAAGCTGTAATTGACCGGAAAACGTAGTCATTTTTTTCTTTTCTGCACCAGGAATGAAAATTAACTGTAGGGATAATGACAAATGTTGCTCAAGGACGCTGATGATAATCTGGACTCTGATTGGTCGAAACAATTAGCCTGAATCTCGTCCAATTACAAGGTTCAAAATTTTCTCTACCCCGTCGCCAATTGTTATGACGGGTGTGACTGCAGGTTTAGATACGCAGCGTTATATCGATCGATTACAGTGACAGTGACACGTAAACACGAACGGACGGCCTACAGTTCTGTTTGGTCCTGCTTCCCTGTCCAGCCCAGCCAGTTGAGTCCAGAAGACAAGTTTCAGCCTCCGATATATGAATCATTACATTTCAAACATACTTTGTTTATATACTAATCAAGCACACCACATCGTACCATAAAATAGAAAAGAACATTTTGTACAATATTTAACAAGTGAACAGATATCGACCAATAGGCAATGTCCATTTAAAGTCCAAGGACACCATTGGACTTAACATGATAATTATTGGTTTATTCCTCTGCATCCACAACAACTACTTAACAAATGAATATGTTATAGTGAACAGAACACGAATGGGGACGATCGAATGTACTTAACACAAAATTACAGAGCATCTCAACAAAATTTGAGAACCATATATCAAATCGTTAATTTGCAAAATGTTCACCAATTGTTCCAAAATGCCTCATACTTCATTGCCCTTGCCTTTTCATACACAATTACATTCTATTTCCGCTCTTGCTTTCTTGATCTTCCCTCATCTTCTGCTGCCGTACATCACATTTCTGATTCGCATAATATACTACTTATATCAATATAAGTAGCACGCACTGCAATGCCAGTAAAATCAGGATGAATATAAAATCTTCACAATGAGGTTATTGTCAATACTCGAAAGTCAGTATCGAATTTTCAACAGTATATAAATCTTTTATTAGCTCTTCAATGAATGAAAATAATCTTGTAATTGGATTATCTAAACGATAATTTTATCTATTTGTACATGATTATCCAGAGAATTATTGGTCGAACAAATATCATTTATAAATTAGTTAACTTATATATAATTCCTCTTACATGCACAATTAGACCTTGTTTAGTTTGTCACATTCTCCAAAGTAGATAAATCCCAAAAAGATTTGACTGATTCAACAGAAAAACGAATCACAGGCATGCTTAGAGAACTCCTAAAAAAGAAAATTATTGATAATTCTACTTACAACGATCTAAATCCTCATATGTATGGCTTACCAAAAGTTCACAAACATGATGTTCCTCTTAGACCTATCCTATCAATGATCAACTCACCATATCATAAAGTCGCACGCTGGTTAGCAGAAAAACTAGAACCGGTTCGTCGTAGATTAGCAACATATACGTTAAGAGATTCATTCCAGTTTGCTGAAAGACTAAATCATACGAATGTTAACGACAAGTTCATGGTCTCTTTTGATGTAACATCCTTGTTCACCAATATACCACTTCTTGAAACTATTGATATAATTTGTCAGAATGAAGATCTCCTACCTTTACCAGCCCCAGAATTCAAAAAACTACTACTAATATGTACAACAGATGTTCAATTCCAATTTAACAACACCATATATCGCCAAGTCGATGGCGTAGCAATGGGTAGTCCACTAGGTCCAATTATGGCAGATATTTTTATGGGGTATCTTGAGAACACGATACTTAAACAGGCAATTAGTGAAACAACGGAATACTCAAGATATGTGGACGACACATTTATTATCTGTAATAATAAACAACATGCAATCCGCCTGCTCAAACTCTTCAATAACGCTCATAATAACATACATTTTACTATGGAGCACGAACAGAACGATATGTTCCACTTTCTTGATGTTGCCATCAAACGCAGGGGAGACGGGACAGTTCAACGTTCAATTTACAGAAAAAGTAATTGGAATGGCCTCTACCTGAATTTCAATAGTTTTTGTCCAATAAGTTACAAGAAGGCGTTGGTTAAAACACTATTTTACAGGGCAGAAAAGATATGCACCACCGACAAACTGGAAGAAGAATTAATGAACGTAGAAAAATGCCTAAAAGACAATTTTTATCCACAAAAATTTATTGACAAATATAAAAGGCCCAAGGAAAAGAAGACGGAAATAACTATGGTCAATAAAAAACCAGTATATATAAATCTTAACTTTAAAGGTGATGACGTCGCACAAATTATCAACAAGAGACTGAATACAGCGCTAGCCAGAACTTATCCGGCTGCTAAACTTTTAATTCTCTATAAAACAACATGTTCAATAACCCAATCAAAGATCGACAAGCAACCCTTTCATGTTACCGCCAACTGTATTTATAAATTTACGTGTACCTGCCAAAGCAGCTACATCGGCCGAACTGAAAGGAGAGCATATCTTAGATTTTTTGAACATGTTCCAAAAAGTCTTAGGACAAGGGAAAGAAAGACTCTGAACAGTGCGATCACCAAACATCTCCTTGATACAGGACATCAGGTAGATACCTTACAATCCTTTAGGGTGATTGGTAAGCAGCCAAACTCCAGTCTTCTGAAGTTTGCTGAAGCCACTGCCATCAGGCGACAAAAACCTGACCTATGTATTCAAAAGGAGACGGTGGTTAATCTTTCCTTACCCTGGTGACAAATATTCCTTCACTGAACCTTAAAATTTTTTTTCTTTTTTTCCCCTTTTTTCTGTTGCATTTATTACATCATTGATTCTAATTTATTTTTTCAACTATCTTTCAAATTAATAATCTTCCAACTGAACTCTAATCACTATATTCCTATCAATGTTTATTCATTATGTAATCAATTGTTTCTAACTCATTTTTGAACTGTTGTCACAATTAATGCTGTAGAATATTCTTTCACATTAGGTATATATTTACAATATTCTGTAAGCAATTTAAATCCATTATGCAATTATGATTTTTAGATATCACAGGTTGTAAGCAGCTGACGAGAACCTACGAAATAAAAAGAATTCATGCTATTCTGCTAGAATCTTTGTTCTTGCTCTTTTCAAAATGATAAAGGGAACTATGTGTATGAAATCTCACAAATGTCTCAGTTTCACAGAGTCGAGTTTCTTCGTTTGACTAATGCATTTACAAAAATTGATGATTACATCAATGGTGATAAAGCATTTCCGATACAGTGATCAAAAGTGCATCAACTGTCTTATCAATCTACAGATCGTGGTTTCATCAGATCCATACTTGTGAAGTTTCTATCGACTTCATTCAGTTGATTTTACAGTAATATCTCAGTTGGAAATATAAACAACTATCCAGTGACGAGTGCTATCCACAAGTGGCTATGAAATCAGAACGACTCTGCATTGGATGAAATATGCATCTGTGTGAACGATTGTTCGAATGATTGAAAGGCAAACAACATCGACTGGTTGAAACCACTGGGATTATTATTAATTGTTCTGCAAAGTCTTACTTACACTTGCATTCATGTTCTCCTTGTTGTTTCACAGTATTACATAATCAATACGAACTATTTCATTGACGACCATATTAATGAGTAAACTCACCTTTGTTTTCAGATACACATGAAATCTCCTAAATTTAATGTTGATTAATTAATGTAGATTAGATTATTGCTTAAATAAACCTTATAATTTTGTCAGTGTGTTCTATTCTACGAAATGATTTTGACGGATTTCACTTGTCCCACATACTTCAGTTCGTTGAAACAATCAATTAAAATCACTGACGCATAAACAACAGTCTCTTCAAGATAATAAATGTATCACACAGCTAGAGCCTATTTACACTAACAGACTGGTGATCGTCTGTCACAACATTCACTTTACTGAAACAAAATTCAGACATATGATTCCGACCGTCAGTTAGCAAATTAGGAAAGAGTGTAGCAGGTAGATAATTTACTTGGTGACGATCTGAATGGAGAACCTAGGAACTCGCGCTATTATCCAAATGAGTTATAACTAAGATATCAATATCTTGTTGGATTAAAGAATATTGAGTACATTTTATTGATAATAGTTTCATACGATTATACGGATGATAAATCTCAGTTGTCTGACAAGTTGTCCGTTAATAAGAATGAGTTGTTGTTTTTTCATAACGAAATATTCAATGAGATGCATTTATGTAGAGTAACTTACTTACGCATGCTACCGCACGTCGAGGCGCATAGGCTGCCCACCAGCATTCTCCATCCACTATGTCCTGGTCAATCCATTCCATTTGTTATTCGTACTTTTGATGTCCGCTTCTTATTCCCGGCACAGTGTGTTCTTTGTCTTACTCTTTTCTGTTTCCCTTATGGATTCCAATTTAGCGCTTGCCTCGTGGTTCACTTTGGTGATTTCCACAATGCTGGTTTTACTTCTCCCACATTAGGCTGTCGCTGTACCTTTCGTAGTCTTTTACCTTATTGATGGTGATGGTTGAAAGTCTGCACGTTTCAGATCCGTACAGTAGAACTGTATTGACGTTCGTATTGAAGATTCTGATTGTCCAACGATGATCCGAAGCGTCTCGATTTGGTCTGTGCATGACCGATCCTCTTGAGGTTGGGCGTCCTTCATCTCATTCAGCAACACTCTGTTAAAAAAGTTTCCTGGTATCGATAGTAGTTTGTAGCCTCTTTAGTTTCCACATTAGCTCTTGATGAGGTGTCCTTTATCCAGTTCGTCGGCACTTGTTGTTCCTTTCAAATATTCCTGAACAGAACATTGAGCATCTCTGAGGTTACTTCCATATCTGAATTCAGTGCTTTGACTGGTATATGTTCAGGTCCTGCCGCTTTCCCACTCTTCATTTGTCTCGTGGACATCCTGATTTCTTCGATTGTTGGTGAGGTGACATTCATAAGAAGGTCTGTAAGTGTTGTTTTGATGTCAAGTGTATTCAGTGGAGCTGGTCTATTCAAAAATCCCTTGAAGTGTCCTACCCATCTGTTCCTCTGTTCTTGGATCTCAGTGACAGGCTTGTCTTTGTTGTTGACCAGTCTCTCCGGT